GCGCGCGCTACGAGCGAGCGAAATTGATCGCTCCCACCCCCTGGCCGATACAAAAGCGCCGAAACGAGATCGGGTCGATACAAAAACTTTCTCCGTCGGTCTCTGCGCACCGGTCCTTGACCATGACCGCATTTCCCATGGTCCCCGGGGCGACCCGCGCGCGTTCAGGGCGACCACGCCGAGCCGAGCCGAGCCGAGCCGCTCGTTGCGTCACGCACACGCGTGTGCAGAGCGTCGTGTGTGCCTTGCACACGCGTGTGTGCTCGTGCGTAGTTGATGCCCCCCCCCCTCCTCCCTCCTCGCGACGCGCAGAGAAGGCCGTAGTTTCACGTCCGGCGAATATTCGGCGGCCAGGGAACGGGGTCGGGGAGGCCAGGGAGGGGGAGAGAGAGAGAGGGAGGGAGGGAGAGAGAGAGGGAGAGAGAGAGAGAGAGAGAGAGAGAGAGGAAGAGCGAGCGAGAGAGTGAGAGCGAGAGGGCCACCACCTCGAACCCATGATACCCGAGAGTCAAGGCCCTGGCCCAATTCGGGTTCGTAGACCCGCGGAGGATAGGTCGCACGCACGCACGCACACGCGCGCGCGCGCGCACCGCCCTCGCCCGGTCTCTTTTCTCGCTTCCGTAAGGTCATTTACTTTTACCAGCAGCCTCCCTCAAGGACCGCTCTCTCGCTCCTCTTTGGCCGCGTCCTTACATCTTCGGGGGATCGAGCAGGTGCGTCGCCGGAGTGACCTATATTATGCGCGGCGCTTTTCGAAGCTACGCATCGCGGCCGGCCGGTGTCTCGAGGAGAAATTCACGCATTCCGCCGTTCCCACTTATTCGCGAATTCGGCGTGACGTACACGCGCGCCGGGGGAGGGAGAGGATCCCCCGGCTGGCCGGCTGCTGATACTCCGGGGCGATTTGCATTTGATGACGAGCCGACGGTCACGCGTTTCCGCGCCGCTGCGTGAGCTGTTTTCGCACGAAAGTCGCCGCTGAGGAGGAGCCGCGATCGCGTGAACTCGCGTGAACCCTGAGCCCTGTGCGCGTACGTGAGAATGATAATCCGGCGCGACGGCTGCGCAAGCGCCGCGCCAGCGAGAAACAACCGCGAAGAACTGTTGCTCCACGCGGCGCAAATTATTTTCGGGCACGTAGCTGCCGCGACACGTGGAGCAAGCGTAAAGCGTAAAGCGTAAAGGCGTCTCGCTTCGAGAGACGCAATTCGACGACGACTAGACGCGCGCGCGGCCAGAAGAACGACCGAACGGCGACGGGACCGATCGATCGATTGACGGCAACGACACGACAGCAACTTTAGCGAATCTTGTCGATACTCTCTGCGAAGGAGGAGGAGAAGCCTCTGTTCGGCATCCACGCTTATCGTTGATACTATTTATTTGCCTCGTTGCGCGTGCAACGTATGAGGAGAATTTCACGTAAGATTGAGGTGTCGGGGAGAATTTGATTTGAAAAAAGATGTCGTTTCAGAGAAAATGTGATTCCAACGAAACGCTGCTCCTTCCTCCCTCCGCACACATCGCCGGCCTGGTATTTGCGGCGTTAAAAATATCGATTCCACGGTCTTGCGCGTGGGACAATAATAGAGATGTTTATTTTATCTCGCTCTATTCTCGTATCGTATCCCGAAAATTAGAAAGCCAGACGGAAGGAGCAATCTCCCCGGCTATCTCTCTCGGCGTGCCCGCCTCCCACCGAGTGTATTATTGCAAACGATAATTCATGGAGAAGTAAACATCCCGGGACGAAATAAACTACACGGGGAAAAGGATGAGAGAACGAAGGAGAGAAGGGAGAGAGAGAGAGAGAGAGAGAGAGAGAGAGAACAGAGAAAAAGAGAGGAAAAAAGGATCGGAGAGGCGCGATTAGTTAGGAACGACACTTTGATTCGACTTCGCGGCGGACACGCGAAACACACGCGGCGACCCACGTGGTGCCGTTCAGGGACGGTGCGGCGGCTCGTTTCGACGTACACACGAGGAAATACATACACCTGGCGGCCGACGAATACGATGTTATTGACTATCAACGCACCGCCCGTACGGCAACCGTGCGAACGCGGAATAGGATTTGCGCGCGCGTGCGAGTGCGCGGCGATGGTTAAACATTCACGCGGCGTTCGGGCCTTTCAGGGTCGTCCGTGCGTACGCGATGCGTGCAATTCGCTGCCAAGATACATAAAGACGAAAATACGACGCGGCGCGGCGAGTCGCGTCTCGATCTGCGATAGCGCGAATTTTCCGGAAGAGTAGGGCGTTCGGGAAATAAGCGCGCCAATCGCGCGCCTCTCTCTGCGCGATCCCTGCGAAGTCGTCCGCAAAGTTTTGTCCGAAACCTGAAGGACACTTTTGCCTCGAGGACTACCTGTGGAACTACGGGTGTGTTTCCTTACGCGAAAGCTTCAAGCAACATTTCCGAAACGAGGAGTCCTCGACGGCGAGCAGCGTCTGCGAATCTTTCGGGATTTTGTCTCTTGTCTCTTGAATTGTTATCTCCATCTTAATATTCGAGCGCTCTCCTCGAGGTGAGATATTCTCTTGCGCAGTTTCGCGGGCTTTTATCCGTCGGTCGGGGGATTGGGGAACGATTTTCGATTTACGAGGACGACGACCGTGATGGCGGGGTCCACGTGGTCTCAAGGTCCCTCGCGCGTATACGGGGCCCTTATGGCGCTTGCCATCGCAATATTTATCGAACGTGTAACGGCGCAATACTAAACACACACCAGACGGTTTTGGCCCTCGGCCCTGGGCGCCACGAAGGTCGCCACGTAACCGCTCGGCGAGGAACGAGGGAGCGAAAACTGTGAGAGAATAAAGCAGCACACAGAGTTTACTATACCGTCGTCGTCGTGTTAATGTCAAGATTGATTAAAACACCCCTTCTTCTCACGTGACCTCCGACCGACTTTTTTTTTTTTTTTACGGCCGAAACTTGGACTTATTGGTGAGGCAAAATGATAATTCGGCCGCGTCTGAATCAAGCGTATTATTAATAACCCATAAATTGTTTCCCTCTCAAGAAAATAATAAATGTCCAAAGTTCTCTCGCGAAATTACACGAGACTGATGTCTAACGAACTGCGCGATTCATTTCCCTCGCGTGTGAGTCAGATCAGACTTTTCCAGAACGAAAGGAGACTTCTTTCAATTTCCCGAGTTTTACGCCAGGATACATTATACACGGAAAAATGGAAAGAATCCAGTCACAGTTTTCCAAAGGTATCAAGTGTGCGTGAGTTGGAAAGAGACGAAGAGATGAAACGCGGAATCATGGGGGAAAAGGATAGATAGAGGAACCGCCGGTTTACTGTAAACCTCTTAACTACATTAGAGAGCCGAGACGAGCACCCTGCGTTTGAGCCAACCGCAGACACCGCAAACAAATCGAAAAGGAGGGGAACCGCTGCTCGAGGGCCGAAGGTTGGCCTAGGCTGAAAATACTTGTATAAAATATAGTCGGGTCTCTCTCTCTCTCTCTCTCTCTCTCTCTCTCACACTCTCTCTTTCTCTGTCTCTCTTGAGCGCGCGAATACACGCCAACGGATGTGTGCGTACGTACGTGAATATGTATGTTTGTGTGTGTGTGTGTGTGTGTGTATGTATATATGTGTATATATGAGAGTTTCGCGAGTTCCTGTTCGTTTCACAGCTTTGCCCACGTCTATATTTCTTTTCCCAAAGATGAGGGGATTCACACACCACATTTCTTCCTCGGTTGATACTTTTAGTCTACTCGTTATTTATCGACCCACCCCCTGCCCCTCACAACCATTCGCTCGTACTTTATGAGAAAGCACGACGAAATGTTAAACGACTTACATGACACGGGGTCTCGATTTTCCAAACACGAAGCTCCGATTTGATCAGCGGGGCGTTTCTTCAGACGACAGCCGAAAGCAAGACGGCGAGCAAGAAATTGCGCGGTGCTGCACTGCTAAGTGAGGAGTAAAAGCGTCCCGATAGACCCGATCGAATTTAAGCATCCCCAGGTGGAAACGTCGCGCGAAGTAAGCGTACACCCAGGGGGTCCCGGCGATTTCTATGTAAATCAATACTCTGCGGCGTACCGAGGCGTAATGCCCGCGATCACTTCCTCGATCGTATGCGATTACCGAGTGTGGAGTCGTCTATTTTCACGGCGGCTCTTGTCGCCCATTCGTTCGTTCGTTCGTTCATTCGTTCGTTCATCCATCCGCTCTCGCACACGCACACGCATACACTCGTCCGTTTGCTTTTCGCTCGGCGAAAAGGTTCCTATTAAGTAACGCACGGCGGCGACCCGGCTATTCGATCGCCGCGTCTCGCCTCTATCAAACCGGCCGTCTGCCTCCTCCAACCTCCGCCTTCTCCGCCTTCTCCTCCTCCTCCTCCTCCTCTTCCTCCCGCTTCTTCTCGCCGTTTCGCGGCATACTCGCGACGAGCGCAACGCGGCGCGTGTCCCACGCACGCGACGGCCGTGCGTCGCATCGTGTTGCGCGAACGATAACGCGTGGGCGAGGCGCTTCGCCGCCGCCGCCGCCGCCGCCGCCGCCGCTTTTAACTGTCACGGCCGCTCGGCGGCTTAACCTTTGCGCGAGGATTCGAGTCTCAGGGGCTGTTGGCCGCCAACTGCGGCCCCTCCGCGCTCGGATTCGGCGAGTCGAGTATGTTTCGCCGGCCTTTCGTACGACTTTCGGTCGTTCGGATTAAATGCGAGGGGAACTGACTCACGCTCGTGATGTAACGGCTAACAAGCGATAACGGATTGTTTTGTAGCTTATGCGAATATTTTCTCTCTTCTTCTCTCATATCGCATCTCCTCCACGTCGACGTGAAAATAGCGTGTTCCAAATTACACTCTGCGTCACCTCTCCGTTGCACTTGCTCTCATTAACCGCGCTTTCACGATGATCGCACGATGAGAGCGCATGACTCGTCACAGACGACGACTTACGCAAATGTCGCGAAATAATGAGCCGAGAGTGATTGAAGGGCGGGCAAAAGGGGTCTCTTACCTGTCGTCCCGTCCAACTCCTGCGCAGGACTTGAGAAAGAGGAAGTGTGAGCGGCGTCGCGGACGATCGTCCCCGAACGAGGCTTGTGTAACGCACCTGATTCCTTCCGCACTCCACCAACACCACCGAGTACGAGTTCCCTCCACGAGCTCGCGGCGGTTCTTCCCGCGCGCGCGCGCGCGCGAGAGAGAGAGAGCACACGGACGAGCACGAAATACGCGCGAGTCGCGATTATTTATCGGCGCGTCTTGCGACGGTCCACGCGACTTGCATCACGCGCGTGTGCACGCACGCACGCACGCACGTGCGTCCACCTACACGCGCGCACGCACGCACGCACGCCTTGCCTGCCTGGCCGTCAGGGATCTCAGATCTCCTGAGGGAAAACGAACAACGTGACGACGCTGGCTGTCGGTCGGCCCGGGATCGCTCCGGAGAACGCTGTCACGTGTGCGCGGGACCGAACCGCGGAAAGTCTCATCTACCTGACGCGGCGACCACGATGACCGTCCACGGTGACAACAGAAACGCACTGCGTGTCCGTGACTTGAAGACGCTGCCGTCGAACGACGGTCAGCCCGAGATCGACAAACAATCTCCAACAACGGAAATTCCGCCGAGCTTTTCCCGCCCCCGCGATTCCACGCGTTCACTCACTCCTGCGACCAGTCCGCGCGGCCGATCGCGTATTTCTTAAGTGTATCGCGAGCACTAATCATCCCGTGGTCAGGTCCATACCGCGGCGAACTCTACCAGCGGTCCCTCCCGGTGCAACATCTCCGAGATAACACACTCTCTCGAGTGAGTAACGTCTACTATCACCTCGTCGTCCGTTTTCCTCGCCGCGAGCCGAGGCGAGACACACACGCGCGCGTCACGCGAGCGCGAACAAACAACAAGAAAGGGAAAAGACGAGCAGTCGAACACACCCTCAGCCCTCGTTCTTCGATCGCGCGCGCGCGCTCGGTGCCGCACGGGGGGTTGAGAGAGAGAGAGAGAGAGAGAGAGAGAGAGAGAGAGAGAGAGAGAGAGAGAACGAGCGTTCACAGTGCAACGTGCGCGGAACACAAGTACACAAGAAGCGGAGGCTTCGGCCGGAGGCGCGCGCGGAACACTAACGCAAGGCGCGAGCGGTGAGTCTCGGTTTGCCTAGCCTAGCCGCCACTAAACGCCACTATCCTAGGTTAGACACGCTCGCGACACTCTCCCTCTCTCTCTCTGTGTGTCCCTCCCGCCCCGTCTACCTCTCACTCCTCCGCGATTCCTCGACTCACTCACTCTCGCTCTCTCTCTCTCTCTCTCTCTCTCTCTAACTCGTTCGCTCGCTCACCCGTTCGCCGTCGTCGTCGCGAACCTCTCGCTCCCGCCGCGCTGCGCCCGCGATTCGGAACGGAGGGAGAGAGAGAGAGAGAGAGAGAGAGAGAGAGAGAGAGAGAGAGGCAGAGAGAGAGAGAGAGAGAGGGGAATCGTAAGGCCATAGCCACGGCCATCGAGTCGAGGCACACACGCATATAGGTATACATGTAAATGTGCGCACGTGTATGTGTGCGTCTATATGTGCAGCGCGCGAACGCGATTCCGTTCGATTCCGCGCGTCGAAAATCGCGTGTGTCACTAGCCCCTTCGCGTTTCGCGCGGTCGATCGCGCCGACATATCCGTCATCCTCGCGGAGAGACACGCTGGTCATTGGACTGTCGATTGTAATCTATAAGATTAGAGAGTCACGCGGGGAATTGGGAAGATACGAGCAAGAACGCGGGACGAGTCCCTTGACGATTTCGATAAAGCGCGCAGCGCGAGCTGCGAATTAACCAAGAGAGGAGGAGGAGGAGGAGGAGAAGGAGGACGAGAGTCGAAAGCGGTTAACGGCGACGCGCGGTCTTTCGTCCAAATAATCGCCTAATTAATGGGCAGTAACTTTGCGATTATTAGCGTTTTTGTGCTCGCCAGGCGAATGTGCTCCACGCGATGGGGCGACCAATGAGAGGACGCCCGCCTCGGGCGGCGGTTCTCGACACGAGTTTGCCGTTTCCATCCCAAAAGCGTGCCAAGAAGGGAGACACGGCGCGTATAAACGCGTTCTATATTCCGGCGACGACCCGGTAGCGCACACGCGACTTACACGCGTGCGTGCGTACACACGCACGCACGCACGACTCGCACTGCTCGACGGTCGCGTAGGTGCGACTTCGCACGAAACTCACACTTGGCGTGCGACGAAGTGCAATATAGCAGGACGTGTCTACGGCCGACATGTGTTTCCCGGACGCTTTGGACGCGCGTCGCCGTCTAAATCGTCACTTTTATGACCGCTACTTTCGATTCGCTCGCGCGCGACCCGTTCGCCGTCGAAAGTGCCGTAAATCAACATCCGAAAACGCGCTGCCGCTGCGGTCTACGTCCGCGTAGCGGAAGAGAGAGAGAGAGAGAGAGAGAGAGAGAGAGAGAGAGAGAGAGAGAGATACACTCTCGCCTGATTTCGATCGTTCCCGTTATCGGCCGATTGCATCCGGAAGCGTTGCGCAGACTTGCAACGATCGCTCTTATTCGGAGCCGAATAAGAGCGATCGCGCTTTGCGAAATTTACTCACTCGGCGACTCTCGCGCCGTCGGTCGGCATCTTCGAAATTGAAATCGCGCGATGCTCGGATTCGTTCGAATCGGACGCGACCCCGATTCGCCGGTAGGCAGTCGCAACTTGCCGGGGAAATCAACGTTAGTTTCGGAATTAACGGGAAACGCGCTTCTCGCAACTACGCGCAACGCGCGCGACGCAATCGGCTCGTTATCACGTATCGCGAATAATACGATGCGCCTGTGAACGTTAGATTAAGAAGTAATTAATGATCGTTTGTAGTCACGCCGACGCGCGTGACGTATGACGCGATTCGCCGTTTTTTCTCGATATGTCTAATGCGCATTGGCGCGCGCGAGCAAGACGGCTCTCGCGCGTCCGCACACACAAGTCGCAGCCGACAACGCGCGCTGACTTTCCAGCTATTTCGAGATAAAGACATTCGGTGCCTGCTCCTCAGTTTCGACACGGAAAGGTAGAGAGAGAGAGAGAGAGAGAGAGAGAGGAAGAGAGACGCCGCGCCGCTCAGCCGCTCGTCGCGCAAGAGCCACCCAAATATGCAAGACGGAAAATCATTTTTACTGCAGCCCGCTATCAGCGTCGTGCCTCTCATCGGCCTCTGATGTAATCGATCCGCCGCAAAGCGAACTCTTATCTCTGCGTATTGTCACACCAGCCGTGCGCGCAATATCTGTACTACAACAAGGCGTCGAGTAAACTAACGCCAGCTCAGCAACGCTGATCCGCAATTGCGCGTCTAATTATTCGTCAACTGAACTCGGCCAAATTCTCTTCTAAAATTCGAAAACAGACATTAATCGGCTGACGAGCGCACAGTCGCATGAGGTTTACTTTTTAACCCGTTTGCGGCGTTATCATGTGTCTCTCTCATCGCACACTTGATCGCGATCTTGCGCAGAGCCGGGAGGACTCGCGAGAGAGGCAGGGTTTAGGGCCAAGGGTGAAGCGGAACAAGTAGTAAAGCAACGCGTTTGGTCGGACGGGCCGCCGCCAATGCAACGTTCACCGAGCGCGCGCGCGCGCGCAGGTGGTCGGCGCGATTGCCACGGATGGCGGAGCGGATTCGCGAGACTTTCTAACGAAAGTGCAAGTGTTTTCTTTCTTCCAACCGGCCGCGGCGACCGCCGCCGCGTAACCGTCCCCGCCGTCTCGCGACTTTCGCGCGTTTTCCGCGGTTTCCCGCCGAGGTCGTCGAACGCTTCTGTCTCTCCGACTCACGTCCGTCGGCCGTGCTTCATTTTTCGCGAGCACGCACACGGTCGTTCCCCGCACGTTGCGCGGATTCGACGCTCTTAACGTCGCTCCGCGACTTGTACGCGACAGCTCGTCGCGTTTCGAAATTTCTAAAGTTCCCGCGCGATGGATGGATGGATGGATGGATACTTGAAACGCGCGAGATTTACGGTTGAGTTTATTCGCCTGTAAAAGCCCTCGCGGACTTGGCTACGTGTATTGAGATATACATCGGTGAGAAAGAGACGTAAGACGCGTTTCTCGGGGAAACCGAAACCTGCCGCGTGAAACTGCCGCGGGGCGCGGTAAAGGTGACGAAACGCGAGGGGTCAACAAGCGCACGAACTGCGCATCCGACGAAAGCAGCAAGAGGGTCCTTGCGGCTCGCGTTCGGAGGACAAGCGTGGTCCGCGAGGGGCGTTACAACCGAGTCGATTTAGGAAGTCCCCGGCTCCGGCCTTCGCCCATGACTCGAGAAGCGAACATTTCTAAGATCCCGGCCGGAGCGAACGCACGAGAACCGCCCGCGGCGTTCAGTCAAGGCCCACGTCGGGGCCTCGCCGTGACATAAATATTCGGGGGGCCTCTCCGGAGGAGGGGGCCCGCTCTCGGCCGCCGAAAGAGTTGAACTTGAGAACGCGTCAGAGAACGAGGAGAGGGACAAAGAGGTGCGGGGGGGGAAGGGAGGGGAGGGGGGAGACGGACGGGAAAGTGAGACAAGGAGGCGAACGAGAGAGATACGCGTAATCATACGGTGGCAATGAGCGACCCTGAAACGGCAAATTCGGCGATTCAACCGTCATCCTCGAGAGGCTCCTTTCGTCTATTTTTAAGAGCCTCGACAACTCGCCGGAGCGGCTCGCCCCGATGCGCGCGCGGACGATAATCCGTCACTCTCTCGCCGGTGATGTAATCCGAAGACGAGCAGTGGACTCGTGAGCGAAAATCTCGCGGCATTCCTCGCGCTCTCGGTTATTACACAAAGGACTCGCGAGGACGGCGATTAGCTCGTCGCGCCGGCCACTTGTTGTCCGTTACCAATCATTACGCTCATTATTTACAAATACTAAACTGTGAATTAGCGCGCGTAAAACTCCTCTAACGACCCCGAACGAACGTAATAATGCAACTTTATACTCGCGGAGCGACCGCGCGTATGCACGTCCCGGCTACGTGTCGGTAATGAAAACTCGACGAGCTCCAATAAATCCCGCTCGTTACCCTCGACGCGGGACTCGACTGCAAATCCGCTTGGAAAAAAAAGGAACGTGACGTGGTCATGTTTACCTCCCCCGCCCCTCCCGCCGCGACACGAAGATACGCGCGCGCGCGCGCGCGCGCGCGCGATTTAACGCGCGTCGTTAAATTCGCGGGTTATAAATCCGCGAGTCATACGCGCCGCCAGTTGCTCCGTCAAGTATCTTGTTTTTAAAGTTCACGTTTTGCATACATCCAACGAAACACACTTTCTCATTAAAGTTAGCGGCGACGGTAAACCGCGGTAAAGCCGATCGCGGATGCCTCGCTGGATGTCTCGGCGACGGGAGAAAGAGGGAAGAAATAAAATAAAATAAAATGATTTCAAAGTATTTGAAGTCTGAGGTAACTTGCGTCGTCGTTCAGCGACGCGAGTTCGAACGAGCGCGATGAAACTTCCCCCGTGACCGATTCTCTCGCAGGAGAGATGCGAGAGCTCCAAGCTCGGTCACTTTCAATGATCGACTCGAGGTGCGACGATCCGCGCGCGGCGACAAAATTCTCTCGCTGCGCCGCGCGGCTGCGTTCCATCGTCGCGCTTCGCGCGACATGACGTGATGTACGAAGCTGACGCATAAAAAAATTGTGTGACCTGATAGCGTAGTTTACGCTCGCATTAAATCCGCGAGGCACGCCCGTACCGCATATACTTGAGCGCACACGATTGCACGAAGCGTTGCATCGCGCGCTCGCGAACGTCACCCGCGGACTTCGACTTTCACTGTGAGTCGCACACATTCGTCTCTCTCTCTCTCTCTCTCTCTCTCTCTCTCTCTCTCTCTCTCTCTGTGTTCCTCTCTCCGTTAGCTCTGCCATAAATTTGGTAACTTCCACGCCTCCTCGTGCCCCTGTCCTCCTTCGAAGCGACGA